ACATGTCATAGGTGCTCGATGGAATGTGCATTGAATGTCTTGGTGGTTCTCGTTCAGTATTATGCTGTCGTCAACTTCTCCTGGATCTAGATGGAGCATCAGAAGTTGATCATCTTGGTCCTTGAGAGCCATGAGAACCTATTCCTTCTGCCCTGCCTTGACTGATCTCAGGTGGTGTGGTGTCAAAAGTAGTATAGCCGATATAAATTGAACGCTACACTCTGGCGGAAAGCTCTGAAACCTGGTCAACTGCTAACTGTAATGAACTAGCATTTTGTCCTTGACCCCCAGCCAGCGGCTCAAGAATAGCACTTGAACGTATGTAATAGTCAGCCTAAGCGATATAAACTTTTTGTCAAGATATGCTTTATATGAACTTTGTAAAAATATATATTTTTGAGACGTATCACTAATTGTTCGCCTGGCGAGCGAGGAAAGAAAGTTTCAGGAGGCTCTATTTGAGGCTGTAGAAAATAGATCGAAGCCCATGATCTATACCACCGTAGGTAAGTACCTAACTCATGATTACCTGTTCCTTCTAGGCGAGTTACTTCCACTACTTATGCTCTCCTATCTTCCCATAGCTCTAGGTAATCTCTATACTGAATAGTCCAATCCAGATCCGCTCTACCTCTTCCATCAATCCTTCTAAAATTTAATTCCATCGGTGGAACATCAGTGAATTGTATTCCCCTGAATTGCCGCATAACACGATCAGGAAGATGCCACTCGGTACGCTTCCAACTAATGAGGGGCACTCTAGCACGCCATATGTCCATCCCCTCCAAACATTCGGCAGGCAAAGTTTCTAGAATGTCTTCCGTGTATGGAGTCATGCTCACTTACATTTATAGAAGTCAAGGATTTCTATTGGTTCCATATAAAGGAAAAATTGATAAGGGCCATAATCCAAAATTTTCGTTTACCTGAGTTAGTCGTAAACCGTCAAAATCATCACGATATGTCAACGTGTTGCTAGAGGGGATCTCACGTATCCGATCTTCAGCCCACCTACATTAAATAGGTTGTAGCATAAGTAATGCAACACATTCGGCAATATAGGTTTAAACTCTTGCTATAAATAAATAAAAATACCTGCAACCAAGAGGTCTTCCACAAAAATCATGTATTTGTGGTACACGCAGTGTGGGTCGGCCAATGTACAATCTCTCCCACGACCATACTTGTAGTAATGTAACACATCCAGCAATATAAGTACGTGTGGGCCTGGTCGCATTACATAGCTCTCTATATAGATGTGCAAGAACAGCAGTTCCAATAGACATTTGACCGAATGAGTCCACATCCATAAGCAAGGGCAACCACTACAAGGAGACATGTGGCCAGGATGTGTCTGGGATCAAAAAACACCCAATCATGAACAAGATGTAAGCCCAGACATGTTGAAGAAATGGACCAGGAGCTAGCTGTTCATATGAATCTTTGTAGAAAGTCCAGCAAAGCCAACGTAAGGGGAGCATTGACTCGAACTGTGAACTACCCATCCTAAAAGTGGCCGTGTCTTCTTCATCGCCTGGAGCATGGTACACAGTTTCTCTGCCTGGATGTGTACCAAGTAGTTCATCACAGCATTCTGGCCATGACTCCCAATGACGACCTAATCCAACAACATTTGGTCCTACGACGGCTGGCCCATCAATTCGTAGTCCCAGTATAACCTACACATCTTGCAGCGTTATTGTCATCTCTCCAACCGTGAAATGAAAAGTGTTCGTAAGCGGACACCATCTCTCGACAAGTGCTATTATGAGATTGTGATCCAAACGTATGAACTGTAGATGTCGAATGTTATGTAGTCCGAGGTTTCATAGAACATAAATCATGCGGGGGCACTCAACCGGCCACTCACGTGCTGTATGTAAATGGGTCGAAGCAACCAAAGGAGATGCCTGTGGCAACGATATAAGAAGAACCAATTAAAAGAAGGATAGAGATGAATGCACTTCATAATATACATAAATACACTTGAATTACATTTATACCTGATCAGGATCATGCACCCTATGAGATGCCCCCAGCGATGCTATGCTCATTTCTCGAATCGGTTCCTCCGTGTTCTCCTGTTGGGTGGTACGACGCCCACCACGCCGCCGCCGAGATCTTTCAGCCATAGCTATATTTCACAAATTTTAGAGATTTGTGGCTAATCTAACGAATAAGTAGTCCACCTAAATTCAATAATAACAATGACTGAATATGTGATGCGCATTAGTTAATTCAAGATGTTATATTAAAAGTTACATAACAGTTCGTCAAAACTAAGAACAAATCTAACCAGTTCTGAATTAAACAACACAACCTACAAGTACGATATTTTTAAAAGAAACATACATTACGACGGCGAAATTTCAAACATTAACACATATTATAACTCTAACTTCTGAAAGTGCCTCACAAGCTTAACTCATCACTAGCTGGAGCAATGAACATTTTCCCTTTATCTCCGATCACAATCCATATGCCTTGAGCTATCGACCGTATCTTTAATTCAAGAAGAAAAGTAAATGAGTTCTTTTCAGTGTATAGTTTAGAAGGAGCCCAAATTAATGTAATAAAAAAAGGAATTATATTTATTACCTCGACGATGCCAGATTATACGAACACGTTTCCCTATTATGACCATTTCTCTTACAATGTCCACACCGTTTATTTGAGCTTGATTGTGCCTCATCCATCGTATTACGAAATCTAGTTGTCCTTGGTCTACCTGCACGTCTCCTAAAAGCTGGTGCAAGCAAAGGTATGATTCCTGCTCCTTCATTAAAATTTGGCCAAACATCGTTAGGAGGGACAACATGGAATAGCCCGGAGTATATTACCTTATATGAGTTTAGTGTGTAGTATTGAGACACGAAAGCATTGTGATTCCATCGCCTATGTCCTGCAACTGAAATCACATGAACGAATGGCAAATGATGTAATTGTTGTTTATTACATGTGCAAGCACACTTTTCAGGTGTAAGGACTTCAACTTTATGTGTTTTGCAAGCCGAATCCACAACTTCGAATTCTCCTCTATTAATGGTAATTGGTTCAGGGCAACGTCGTGCTTCCCGTTCAGTTCTTTGTAACATACCCATTATTCTAGGAACAAGGTCAGATTCGGCAGCCATCTTCCACTTCTCAACTTCTGTAGAACACCGCATGAATAAAGACACGAGATTATAGTATATAGACATTACTAGACCTTGAATTGGCAGCCCACGAGCACATTTAAGAACTCCGTTAAAACATTCTGATGCGTTTGTTGTCATGATGCTATATCGACATCCATTGTCAAATAATAATGACCACTTACTAACATCACGTTGTATCAAGCAATCATATGCTTCTTGCTTTGCATTTTTAATATGCTCCATCATACGAGTAAGCTCGCACTGTCTTCTGCACTACCATCCAAGTACATATTATTGCAAAGGCCTTCAACATCAATAATACCTTGGCGACGTAAATATTTTTTGAAGTTTTCACGCAAGTGACGAAGGCAGTGTCTATGAACGACTTGCGGAAATATTTCTCGGCACCCTCTTACAAGCCCTGGATGCTTATCTGAGATTATGCATAAATTTTGACGCTCTTTAACAACTTCAACCAGATCATGTAGTTTACGAAGGAACCAAACCCATGAATAATTGCTCTCTGATTCACTATTGCAAAAGCCAAGGGGAACAGTCCACCGTTCGCATCAATTCCATCAGCAACAAGAAGGGTCCCACGAAATTTTCCTAGCAAAAAAGTTCCACCGAGGCTAAGGACAGGGCGACAGTGCTGCCACCCATATATTGATGGGCCAAACGCCCAAAATAATGCCTTGAATCGTGAACCTCCAACTAATTCGACATTGTATATTGTGTCTGGTTGGGACAAGCGTATCACTTCCATGAAACGTAGGAGTGAACAATAAGAATCCTCATATGAACCAAATATTGCTTCGATGGCTTTCCTCCGTACATCCCACGCTTTCATGTACGAGATCTTCATTTCAAATTTTGACTCCATTCTTGCTATTATCTCTTTTGGTTTCATGTCGATTTGTTGTTTTATAATAGGCATGATATGCCTGCATATAAATTTTGAGGTGCAATTGTGATGCCCACCCAGTATAACAGGTTGAGTGCAAGTATGTGGCGGACCCACGGATGACACTTTCCAAAGAACGCATAATCTTTTACTTCGTGATGCATGTAGTCGCCAATAGCAAGGCCTATGAACATTATTATGTTGTGCACATAATATTGTGAGACGACTTTTATTGGAAGTTGAATTTAGGTATTGAACATTTTGTGAAATCGACCAACCATTAATTGCAGCCTGTAAGTCTTCCTTGTTATGAAAGATTTGACCTTCATACACTTCCGATGGAATGTTTGCTTCTGTTGAGCTAACAATATTGATGATATGAGGATCACATTGATCATCACCATCCCATTGTTCGGTTGTTTGAATGGTTTCCTTGAAATTATTATTTGTATCAATGGATTCCAATCCAGCAACATTTCGTCTTGCATGATCAGCAATGAACTCAACACCAAAATTTTCATCGTTCGTACAATTGTACATTTCTTCATGTGTTTCAATTTCAGGATGACTAGAACTATCCCCTGAATCAGTGCTACCACTATCCATAGTTTCGTATGAATCTACGTCATTGTTATCGGTATCATCTCCGTGTGACAAAACATTATCGTTTTGCTCTGTTTGAGGCATGAATGAGGAAGAGACTATGTTTTCTTCACATATATTACTACGTGGTCTGAACCAACGTGGACGATCGCTCACATTGGTACGTGAAGGTTGTTGTTCCTGCACCAAGTTTGTTCGATCTGACAAACTCAATCGGTCATAAAAGTTTGGTGGAATTTCAATCGTATTACTTCCGCGGGCAGTCCATGTATTTGGACTAATTCAAAAAGAATAAGTTATGCTTAATTTTTAGATAACAAATTTAATCACAACAACAACATGTAATGAAGTTGTAAAAACTTACATATGTATCTCCGTTGACGGACCAGCAAGGTCACATTGATTGATTTGTTCTGCCTCAACGTAAAAAACGACAGGATCAATTCTTGCTTCTAATAACATAAACTCACAAACTTCATCATCAGCTACATGTGTTGTACAGTATCCACCATGATTCCGAAGTCGACATGTCAGGTTGACATTATTTGTTGCATAATTAATCCTAAGCACACCCATAATTCTGTCTTTTAGCATTGTGAGAGAAATATCGTAATCAACGATTATTGGCCGATTCTGTCCACCGATATATCTCGCTGTGAAATCATCCCCGATACGAAGCTCCCCACCGTAAAATAACATTAAGCGTGACATTCTGTCCTAAATTACACAAATTTGAGGGTTAATCCCAAGAATATTATTTTTCGCTACAATTTTTTTACTTAACAAAATGGTCATAATGTAACGAGAGTAAATGTATTTTAACGCGTAACAATGTACTAACTCTATTCCTACCGATGAGGTCAAATTAATTTATTCTTCAATTCAATCGCAATGATGTATTCAGCTTATAGCACGAAACTTTTCTCACATTTTCTTTTTGGATGACATATCCACCCTATATGTAAACATTTAATCTCCTTAGGATGATTTTAATATTCCCGATTTAGTTTTTCTATGAAATTCAATTCATTAATTTAGTTTCAGGATCGAACTGATACTTCAATAATCCTTTTATTCATTATGGATAAATAATAAATTTTTAATCTACTTCTGAATTTAAAAAATATTCAAAATTCCTTCATTAAAACATAGGTCAATTGAGATGTGAGTTTAATATTATTCATTAGGTTTTTAAACTTCAAAAAATATAGATGTTTTCTCTTCCCAATTTGATAGTTAAATTTATTCTAAGGTACTACATAGCAGGATTTAGGTTAATCTACTATTTATGTACTTCTTACTATATTTTTTAACAAGAAAATGAATTGAGGTTGCCTCTTCCAAAATTAGTAGTTAAAATTAATTCTAACGTACTAGAAATAAGGATTCAGTGCAATCTAAACATAATTTTATCAGATTTTTTGGCACTTCTACTAATTATCTTAAACGATTTTAATAATTAATAAATAAAATATAATTACATACAAGATGACAAATTTTATTTGTAAACATAAATAAGTTTATAAAATATTATTTTTTTAAAAAAAATTCAAGTTTAAATGTACTTCATACAACTAATCAAATGTGACTACCTTAACTCAAACAGTTCTCACATTTAAATATTTTAAATATAATTATAATAATATAACTTACAAAATTACAACAAAAAATATTGTCCCTTCAACATTTTATTATGCATTTTTTTTCATCTAAAGAAATAACCCCTTAGTCTATAGACCGCCGTCCTCTTAACCAAATGTTGAAATGCATAAAAAATCAACCATCCTCTTGCAACATTAACTATTTATCACACTAAGGACAAGTTGCTAATAGATTAAAAGGTTTAACGGATAGTAAGATGCTTAATAAAAAAAATATAAATATATATATAAAAATATTGCCCAACACTTGTTAACTAATCCAATGTAACCGAGGAATCATCTTATTGTTAACTAATCCAATGTAACCGAGGAATCATCTTATCAGTCCGCGTGCTGCCTCACTTTACTCTTCATAGAAATTTTAAAATAAGCTTAGCTTTTGCTTTATATATAAGATACTTTGTGAGATTGCTTTTTTACCGATTTATATGAGTCCAAATTTTGTAATGTGAAGGAACAGCAAGAGTACTTCAAAATAAACATTATTTAGAACAATAATTAGAGAAAAACTATTAGATCCAGGAATTTTTTTTTATAAAATTTCTTCTTCTTTTAGGAGAGAATTTAGCAAATTCCTAAGTCAAGCGTTACGTATATATTATTATTATTAATCAATAATAATAAGGATCATCATTTGAAATTCATTTAATTATAAATATCTCATTTCATCTCATAATCATGAGATAAACCTTAGAGGATTTTCAATTTGTTAAGCTCATTAGTTTACTTACAAGATGATCCGACCTACTTGCTAATCTTCTTTTTGAAAAATTCCTCCATGAAAGTCATTTAGGAGTTAAGCTTACTGAAAAAAAAGGCTACGACATCTATTTTTTTAGGCTACTATTAAAATTAAAAATTAGTGAATTTGCGTGTGTACTACAAATTTTTTGAAAAAATATGTTACATAATTGGGGATCTTTGGAAAATAAAAATACAACCAACTACCCACAAAACATTGATAAATTTCATTCTACAAACCAGACCAAACAACAAAAAATGCTAAAAAAAATACAATACACCAAATTTATTTTAAATAAACTACAAATTTGCTGATAAAAATTAATACAAGTCACTGCTAAATAATAAGTAACATAACAAATCTGCAACAAAGAAATATATCCCACAAAAACTACGGAGCTTAAACCAACTTCATAATACATAATTTTTTTAAATAAATGTACACAAGTTTTACATCACAACCAAATAAACTATGAAATAAATTAAAAAGAAAAAAAAATTAAACATACCTCACCGATCTCTCTCCGGATGAACACAGCGGTAGCAAGAAACACAGCAAACAACTGAAGAAGCTTGTGATTTTCGCTCAGCTCCTCTGCTCCTATTTATAATTGAAATCCGCATGGCATCTTCTTCACCCACTCCCTAAACGTCCAACCAACCGCAATTATTTGCTTTTTAATTTCCGCACCGGTCCGTGGAATTCGCGGATCTGGTATCCGCTAAAATCCAAAAATTCCAATCAGACAGCCAACCAAACAGATAACATGAAGAATGCGCCGAGTTGGTTGGCGCATTCTCAAGAATGCGCCGAACCATTAAGCGCATTCTTGAATGCGCTTAATGATTCGGTGCATTCTTCAGACTTCGCCGAACAAATTAGCGCATTTACACTGCGCTAGTTGGTTTTGCGTATTAGCTCGAATTTAAATTTTTTCACAAATCTGCTTCTTCCACGAAAATTCATTTCCATCGTGCTGCTTCCGAAAATTTTGCCTTTCAGCAAACCTATCGTCAAATTGAACATCTAGAGGAGAAGAACACAACAACACTAAAATAGGTCTAATCTAGGCCCAAATGGTGTCCAAACGAGGAGTCTGAAGCGTATATGAAAGGTTCAAAGCATTAATCTGATGACGAGATGGCAACCAAATATGGCATACTTATAGACAAATCGAGCAACTTGACGTGACGAATCCAACAAGTCCAATATCAATTAATTTGGACATCATTAAGGAAATTAAATATTGAATTAATGCTTTATGATCGAGAGAATCAGTATAGTCGTTGATGGAGCACTCCATACTTTTCCTAAATCTTCTCCATATTTACAG